AGAACGAATTATACGATACCGAATTGCGTATCTCTTCAGGTATCTGATTCCATAGTTTAGCCCCACTATATTGGAAGCTTTTTTTTAAGGATTCCGTTTTTGGTCGTGGAATATAAAACCTTTTTGAAGAACCTCTCAGATTATGGTCATGAATGGTATTCAGATTTTGGAAAGCTTCGCATAGTCGTTGGGGGGCTAAACCATTAACTGTCTTGTACATGAGCGATTGTTATTTATAGATCTAAACGTCTCAAACATTTGAAATTTATGCAAATATATACTCCCATCGTTACATTTTAGCGTTCTTTCAACAAAATCACCCAATAACCAACATGCTGTGAATACCTCAAAAAATGTAAGCTTCTCATATTACACAAGCTTAGCACACTTGAACCTCTTGCTTGTTCGATATGGCGCGAAGTTTGATAAATGTGATGCAGCAACTTATAGTCAAGTTTTTGTTGTTGAGACAATATTGTGGACAGCGCGATCGTGCGAGCTTTGGAAGCTCTGATTTCCCAAATAGGTACAATATATTCTTGAGGGAGAATATATTACAAACGAAACTGAGTGTACTCAATCGTGACTCGCTAAGGATTAATTCTTCATGTCTCTGATACATTGTGTGATTGTACGTCATATTAAATTTGTGTATTCGTTTCTGCTATTATGTCGCAGTTTAGTTGGCAAATTTGATGTCAAATGAAACTCTTAAGACTTGCTCTTGTTGATTTTTTTACTAATATATCTAGACATATCTACAATATGCACGTAAATATATTTATACTAGTGGCCAGACTTACGGTATCAAGATTGATATCCCGAAGATGGCAAAATTTTGGATCATGCTGACTGCCAGCAACTTGTCAATTATATAGAATGAGGTTTTTCCTTTTATAAGTGCTCGAAATGTGGTTTTTAAAGAACAAGTCAATGTGTCACTTCTTGCCGAAATACGGGTTCGTTTAGGATAAATTTTAGGACGATCTGGAAGAAATAGTATTTCTGAGGTTCAAATTTCACAGTTTTGTGCGAGGTCGAGCAGCCACGGTCAGATTTGAGGCTGAATGCCTGAATCTGCCCCTGGAAGACGCTCGTGAGGCCAAGAGATACAGTATACCGTTTGTATAAGATACTAAAAAGTGCCTTCAGGTCTTCAAGATGATGCACTTTAAACAATTTTCGTAGAAATATTTGATAAAATTGAACCAAACATGAACTGTTTTGTCGTCGTGAATTTGAGTATTGCTGACGTGAAATGGATAATGACGAATTTGCGATAGCCAGATTTTGGCCGACTTTGCATGGTGGCGTCCTGTCCAAAAAAATTTGCAGCAAGCTGAAGGAGTGCAGTTTTCGAGTCATGAGGGCAAGGGAGAAAAAGGTGATATACCTTTTGTATCTGTATCTATCTGATATGTTGAAGAATAAAATTTGCACCCATTTGTACCCATGATTTCATTTGTTCATACTCCTATAGGAAGTACTGAATATAGTCACGTTTAATGTTATTGTTGTTGTGTCTATAGAATTTAGGAGGACCAGATTGGAAAAAAGTTGTAACTTTATCTGTTTATCCTCAATAAATAAAGTGTTATTATTAATAATCATTTTTGGTGTTCTATACTCATGTTTCTATTTTACTTGTTTATCTTGTTACAGATTGCCCTGCATGCAGCATGCGTATCATTGATCTATTTTGGAAGCCTTGGCCGCTATATTCCGACGGCTAAAGGGTGGAGGCTTTCCATATCTGGGGCGATTCCAATGCCAGTGAATGACGTAACATTTGCGCCAACAGTCGGGTTCTATAATTTTATACTGTGCATAAATCATGCAGACAAATTATTTTTTCTCTTAGCTTTATGAAATACGTCAAAGATCTAATGATGTAAAAGATGCTGGAAGTCAATGTGAAGAATTTAGTGGATTTCCAGGAGACGGAGAATTGGGTGCAACTGCTCTTGGACCGCCAACACAGGTGAGACCACGGATCTGGTGAAATAGCATTTTTGTAAGCGCTCAATCGGTACAACAATTCATTTACGGTAGAAATTAATAAGATCTTTTGCCGGAGCATTAGTTCGTTTCAATTGAACGAGAAAAAGGATCGTTTGTTAGCCATTTTAATCACTTCCAGTCATTGACATGATTGTTCCATTGAAGATTGTCCGACACTGTAAGGCCTAAAATGTTGGCATTGATGTACTACGTCATTAGGCTCACTGTTGATTAATATAGGGTCGAATTGGTCTTTTCGTTGTTTAAAGTCTATAACGAGTTCTTTACATTTATCAGGATTAAGTTGTAACTTATTCTTAGATGTCAGATGACCAACTTTCAATTTCTTTGACATCTTGTTCTATTTGACTGGCACTACCCTGTGAGACTATTTCGTCAATAGTAATGTCATCAACGAACTTCCATGTCGGTGAATCTCTCACTTCTAAATCGTTAATTATCCACAAAAAGAGCCTAGACTCCAATTTAGTGCCTTGGGGCACACCTGCATGATGGAACGTGACCCCATTCAGAGTAACATTCTTTGATATCTTTAATCTTTAAAATTCTTTAAGCACGGTAGCCATTCAGCATGCTACGCTGATTTTCAATGGGCCGTGCACACTATACAACATATATTAACCTAATTCTACAATACAAAATAGTGAAACCTACATACTGGTCAGCTTCACCTATAATATATACTAATACATTAAACAACTAATTATTCTAATTATAGTAAAAAACTACTGATATTACTAATTAACCCAAGGTTCTGTAGTGATCGATGAGCATAGATTTAGCAACATTTAGTGTGATATTGTCGACGTTTTGTCTAATGTTATCCGGGAGATTGTTCCAAGATTTTGCCGCTCTGTATGAGAAACTTTTTTTGAGAAAATTTGTGTTAGGTTTATCAAGGGAAAGTTGGCAAAATTTACTTCTCAAGTTGTACGTTTCGTTTGAACAGAAATTAAACATTTCTGTGAGATAATTCGGAGAATTAGCAGTGAGTGCTTTAAAAGTAACAATATTTTCACGAATAGATAAGCTTTTATGGATTGGCATCCAATCAAGTTTTCGAAATATTTCATTGGACCGTACATCGTATGAAGCGCCGGTTATCACACGTGCCGCTTTCTTTTGAAGTTTAGATAGCTTTGTAAGTTTACTTTTGTAGCCATCGTTCCAAACAGTGGAACAGTAATAGAAATTCGAAATTACAAATGCATTATACATTTTATTAAGGATATGTTCAGGCACAAACGATTTAGCTCTCCTTAATAAAGCAATATTGTTTGAAATCTTTTTATTTTGTTCGTCGATATGCTTGTTCCATATCTGTCTGTTAGAAAATCTCTAACCCAACAAACCATTCCATATGGTATGTCTAGACTGCGAAGTTTTTGGAGAAGAATACAGTGGTCAATTAAGTCAAAAGCTTTAGTATAATTTTCATCAGTGCAGAAGTAGCATCCGTAGCTTTTGCCCATTCATGAATCATGGAGACCAGAGCTTGAGTGGTTGAGGATTTAGGAACAGCATCAAATTTGTTAGGATCTATTACTTTTAATTTTGCGTATCTCGACACAACAAATTGCTCAGCTTGTAACCGGTTTGAGTTTAGGTATAGGGGTGACGTTTGCATACTTCCAGGACTCAAATTCTTGAGAATATGAACACAGTTGTTGTTACTGGCCGGGGCAGTTTTTCTGGACCTGTCAAAGGCTTTTTGATACCGTGAACCATCCTATACATTTTTAAAAGTTATCTAAGGCTGGGTTTATTGGTGCTGCTGTAACATGGTTCAGATCATACCTACTGTATCTCAGAGAACGCAGGTCGCAAGAGTGAATAATGCTATCTCCTCTGCAAAGTCTGTCTCAGTTGGAGTACCACAAAGGAGTGTTCTTGGACCATTCCTATTTCTAATTTACGTAAATGACTTGCCTTTTTATATCAAGATCTGTCGAGTGATCATCAGGGTTCGTACAAAACTTGAAAGTCCTTGAATGTCCTTGAATTTGAAAACAAAAATTCAAGGCCTTGAATGTCCTTGAGTTTGTAAAGAAGTACTTGAATGTCCTTGAATTCTTCTTGCTTTAGTTTTTGGATATTTTCTGAAATTGTTTGACATTCAAGACGGACATTTTGTTGAACTGATTTTGCATGTTCATATCTGACCTCATTATAAAGTTACGTTTTGAACAATTCAACGTCAGATTTTGCTGATTTCTAACACCTTCTTCAGTATTTAGTCCTTGAATTTGTTGATACATGGCCTTGAATTTCCTTGAAAAGTCCTTGAATTTAACTCTTCCTGACCTGTACGAACCCTGGGCCTTGTATGCAGACGACACGGACCACGGTCCTTTATTTCTCTTCCTCTACTTTGAGGGAGCTTGAAGACAATTTAAACACTGATCTCGATATTCTTTGCAAATACTTCAATGACAATCTTTTAACTTTGAACGTAGAGAAATGCAAATGTGAAATCTTTGGTAATCCAAGCAGAGAATCCTTTAAATACCTTGGCATTAAACTCAGTTAAAATATGCCTTGGTCGGACCACATAGATGCTCTTAGCAAAAAGTCAGCCGGAGACTTGGAGTTTTGCGTCGTGTTAAACATTTGTTACCTCTTCCTGGTCATTTGACTCTGTATATAACAGTCTTATTTGACCGTTATTTGATTATGCAGACATTGTGTGGGGGGACAGCTACTACAAAACAATGCAGCAAGAACTACTGTACACTTGATTTGCCCAAATATTTTTCTGGTACCCAGGCCCTTGCGCAGTTAAATTACATCTTCCACGAACGCATACCAACTGGGGAAAACAACGGTTTGTCTACTATGCGCTCAACGATTGAAACAATCTTAACTTAGAACAAAGACAATCCAGCAATCTGTCTTCTTTTAAAAATTCTATTAGACCATAGTTCGTTTTATATTTGTATTTTAGCAATTTCTGGACTTCTTAAGGACATGCAATCTAGTGAATTGACGACTTTTAAAAACTTTTTTAAACTTTATCTCATTTTTATATAATCTTGATATTTAATATTCTCTATATGCTTGTGCGGTATATATTGTGTGGTGTGGTGATTTTAGCTGTTATCGTAGGACTTCCCTGAGAAACCACCTTGCTGTGAGAATGCTGACATGATCAGTCAATCACTACAGTGTGAACTTGAAAGCACTTCTGCACTGCACTTTAGTTGAAACTGTGTATTTGGGTAGATGGATAATGCAAGTGCATATATTGGATATACACACTTCTTATACCTAACCAGGAACGGTTGCGAAAAATGCAACACTGAAGGTCCCCTCATACATATACTGTATATATGTGGCATATACTGTATCGTCGCTTGGATTATCCATCTATACCTCAATAATCAGTCGTCTGCTACTTGTAATATTCAAATCAAATATATTTCACTATTTTTATAAATAATTAATAAATATTTATACAAATGATGGAAAACTACACAAAGCTATTATCAGATTATATTTATTTAGTTTCATTAGCAGGATGAGCTGGAATTTATTTCTTGTTTTTGTTAATATATTGAGGAAATATGGAAGGGGATGTATAGAAACTCGAGAGAGTTTGTATAATTACCAAATCTCCTTTTCCAGCAGAGTAAGAAAGCAAGCTATTGGCCATTGGTGTGACAGGGTTTGTACAAAACTTGAAAACCCTTGAAAGTCCTTGACTTTGGAAACAAAAGTTCAAGTCCTTGAGTTTATAAAGAAGTGCTTGAAAGTCCTTAAATTGTTCTTGCTTTAGTGGATATTTTCTGAAATTATTTGGCATTAAGAATTGGAAATTTTGTAAATTGATTTTGTTCATGCCTTACAAATGCCAAAGCTGTTTGAAATTCATTAAAGTAAAACATTTTAACGTCACTTTTTACTGATTTCTAACGCTTTTTTTTACAGCCTTTGTCCTTAAATTTCCTGATATATGGCCTTGAAAGTCCTTGAAAATCTTTGAATTTAACTCTTCCTGACCCGTACGAACCCTGATGTGATAAATGGACTAACAATATATACAATAATATTGTATTGGTATAATAACGTGTATATATATTAATTATTTATTCATTCCATTATAAACAATCTGGAAAGATTGGAGTGATGTATATAATGCGGCATTAGTAGGGTGGACACTCGAATGACTAGTTAGACCCTCTTCTTTTAACTGCTGCCCTACATTTTTCGTTTCGAGGTTCTTTTTAACTTAGTTGTTTTTCTTTATCGAACACATGCAGGTTAATCTAGAGTTATTGGTGAATGACCGTGCACAGAAAAATGTGCGGGTATTAATTCAGTCGATTGAAGAGAAAGATATGGTCCAAGCCGAGACAGAACAGAAAAACCGTGACTTGACGAAGAAGGTGGAAGATCTGGGAAAACAGTTGGAACATGCCAATGAAAGAAATGAGCAAACAGAATTAAAGTTAGAAGAGAATAAAACAAAATGTGCTGTCTCGGAGCGCAAGTGCGATGAATTCTTCAAACAAGTCGAAGAACTACGCCGTGAACTGCGAGACAAAGAAAATAGGATTCAAATAATGACTGATTCCGTAAGTATCATTATATCAGTAATATTCTCATGCAGTGTTACGGCTAACTGTGCATATATAGTGCTGCCTCGTTCCTTCAAAAACACGTTTCGTATATACTAAACTGCAGTAGCTAACAATTAAACGAAAGACAAAAACAACAAATTTGAATCTTAAAATTTTATTTCATCGCTACACAGTGTTTCACGTACAGCGTACGGTCATCAGGCGATTGATGTCACAGAGTAGGTAAGACATACAGAGACGTAACTGACCGTTGTAAACACTGCGGAAGATTACGTTATCATGTACCCACTTTTTTTCAGGCGACTGGGCGAAAAATGATCAACTGCGCGTGCTCAGCAAGTTTAAAGTGAGTCGTCATCAGGTCGTCATCCAATCAGATGCATGCATGCATCTAGTAACTTGCCGAGCAAGCGCACAAAAAAAGTGGGTACACTAGTTACGTCTCTGTATGTCTCTACTCTGTGTTGATGTTAATTATCTCGCAATAAATTACAACGGTTTACGCAAGCATTTAAATGATTGTGTTTACTTGCGTGCGCGCGTTTGAAATTAGAAGCTTTATAACTGTTCCTATACCTACATTTGCTAAACAATTCAGATCTAATATTCAATGTATTATTTTGTCCGATAACATAATCATTCTTTTTTCTTCGGTGCACAGAGAACAAACTTTCATTCCTGGGCAAACGGCTGGAACTTGCTTCATGACCGACCATTTTATTCGGAATGATTTATTCTGCGATTTAAGATCCCAAGCATATTTCGAAAGTTCCGTCTCTGTCGAATAGCACTCATTGTTCAATGATTTCAAATGATTGCTATATCTTAGCTTGAAAGGACCCGCCGTCATTCCTATATAATTCTTGACCTCTTTCCCATTGTCGCTTGTAACACTGTGTAGCGATGAAATAAAATTTTAAGATTGAAATTTGTTGTTTTTGTCTTTGTATTTGCTCTACTGATTTATTGGTGTTGAGCACTCCAGTTCACTTCGCACAAATTCAATATTGAATATATATATATATATATATATATATATATATATATATATATATATATATATATATATATATATATATATATATATATATATATATATATATATAGAGAGAGATATATATATATATATATATATATATATATATATATATATATATATATATATATATATATATATATATATATATATATATATATATATATATGAACTGAACTTGTAATAACAGTTGCCTGAAGATTGCAAAATTGCATGAAACTCTGAGTAGCAACATGTACAATTTTTAAGATGAAATAAATTGATAAGTAGGTATATAGTTTGTTTGATAAGTAATTTGGAAGTCTACATTTCTGGGATTATTGATTTCACGAGAGTGAAAAGTAAAGTCCCCGTAAGGATGTGGAGTATGATGGAGAGTTGAAAGGTATATTAGCATAGCTTTCGAGTTAAGACCATGTGCTTTCATTTTGTTCCAGGTTCAGGAAGACCGAGCAATAAGAGAACGCAATGAAGTTGTCATTAATTTACAGCTTATGATGGTAAGTTTGTCAAGGTTCTGCTGGGCTTTGTGTGTTGTTTTTGTTGTGCTGTGTCGATTTTGTTAAACAACCTCGACCTGGAGAACTAAGTCATGCATTCATATTTACCGGGGCGCGCAAACGAATTTACTTTATGATTGTGGAAGTTTTGTTACAAAACAGAATCTGGTTGAGCATTGGCACTTTATACGCTACAATGTGGTTGATCATGCGCTCGTTTTCATTTAATGCCCCACAAGTGAAACAGCATATATTGCTGTATTAGTTCTCTGAGTATGGCCGTGCGAGATATTTGGCAGTTGATCCAGCTAGTCCTCGGACACCAGATGATAGACGCTCTGACGCATTTACTCATTCAGTGGATGGTGGATTCCGTCGGGCCTCAGGCATGGCTGGTAGTATATCTTTCTCGTATAGGGACGTACCACGTTTATCTACACGCTTGTAGTAATTTTATTCATTAGAAATAGCTTTAAAGAATACCTCTACACTCTGTTAAACTTTGCGGCTCTCTTCGTGTTTTGCGAAACGGCATCTTGGTTTATTACCAAAATATTTGCTCGTCTGTATCTACCGGAATGAAACGGGAAGCCATTTTGTTGTTTTTTTGTTTGGAGGGGAATAGTGCAAGGATAGCCGATATCAAACAAAACCAACACATGCAGTTATGAACTAAATACATTTATTATTTTAAATGTAGAAAATTATTATATTTTGTCTTTATATGTAGGCAAGACGTGCTTTAGAGATTGGGCAACCGATTGTCTTACGTGATGAGGTAAGCCTGTTTCCTTAAAATCTGTATATACATTGCTTTGAAAACTATTACTTCTTGTCTACTACTTAACAGATTTTTTTTCTCTGCTGAGCTAGGGTCACCAATGCTGTTTTTCTATCAAATTGCCCAGTAGCTAACTAAATATGGTTTTTATAGTATTTCTATGATCATACTGAATCGGTTAGGCCTCATTACCCTTTCTCATGCATGCACGCGGGCCCATACCCCCCATCAGAGAATTTAGACAATCTAGACAATGCGACAAGCGACTTTTCAAAGTTGTAACTGTAAATTTATCATTATACACACACAACTACAGTGATAAAAAGTCGCATTTCGCGGTGTACTGTAAGTTATACTGTATACACTCTCAAACTTGGGAGAGACCGGACCGGTGCTGCTGGATTGAGAAGATTGAACTACCTGAAAAATACAAGTAAGGCCGAACGAAGGGTCTTTGCCCGAAACATCCAAGTCTTACCTGTATTTTTCAGGTACAGTAACTAAATCCCTCTCAATCCGCAGCTTTCTGGTGTTAATAGGGACCTTAAGCAAACAGGACGGCAACGCGACGACGACGGCTATTCACACAATGATATTCCAGATCTCGTATACAAAAGAAATGAATAATTAAAAGCCCCACGGGAGTTAGAGACGTTGTGTTAGGGCTTTTTACAACGGCAGACCAGAGATTTTCACGTCTCGTGTACAACGCAAACATGTCAAGACGCGACAAGTGAAACTACAAATTTGCTCAGCAAAAGCGTTTTTAACCATAAAGCCTTTGTTTTAATCTCTTCAAACTGAACTCAATTCATATATAGATGCAGTGGATAATACATAACAACACTTCTTCGCAATAATTTATTTGAAGAAGTTTGTTTTGGCTGTCGTCGTCGCGTTGCCGTCGTACAAGCTTAAGGTCCCTAATACAGTATCACTAGCTACGCTGGCACAGATCGTTCGAATTCTTATTTGGTAGCCTTACAATCTTGTGTTTTACAGGAAATGCCTGACGTACTTTAATGATGCGCACATGCATGAATGACGTATATCCACAAGACTACGGTGCCATCTTTGAGGCGGAACAGTTTTTTAGTTGAAAATAGAACTTTTGTGTGGAAGAACATAAAATATACTCATAGCCACTCCAAATAAGTTTTAGTTCCCTTTCCGACCTCTCTCACACGAATGCAAGTGATCCATAGACAAATTTAGCTAATGTTTACATCGTTGCTACCGAATTGATGATTCCCCTTATTACGTTTTCGTGGCGCTTTACATTGTGTTTATAGTGGTATCACTGATAAAAATAGCGGCCTCGAATGAAAATATTGAATGTTTTCGACAATATTTTGCTGTTGGCTATCGCGCAACTGGCCCTGGCTTTTTTTAAAAGTTCTTGCACGGGTCAGGACAAAAAATAAGCCATCTTGAATATCAGTGATACCACTATAACCACAATGCAAAGTGCTACGAAAACGTAATAAGGGGAATCTAGTATTCACAATTCTGGATAAATCTCCTGCCCAGTTACAAAATTGTTCTAGTTTACAAAAGCATAGAATAGAACAAAGGTAACTAAGATTAGAATTATGTATAAGAGAGAGATTCACTCATGCAGATAACTTTAGAATTGTCTACATGAGTGAATAACTCTTATACAGAGTGTCCTAAAGTAGTGAACCTTTAGAAATCACCTTATGTTATTTATAATTTGAAGATCTATTTTAAAACTACACTCGAGTGACAGAGGAGTAACGGACGACTACAGACGAGTAACAGACGACTATAGACCAGTAAATTTTCTAAATACGACTATTAAACAGTATTTTGACGGATTGTTGTTAATAAATGATGCAATATTTTTCAAAATGGCGATTGGCGACTGCAGTATGTGAGATTTCTGTCTTTAGCCGCTATTGTATGTGGTGAGAGGTGAGAACTGTACCACTATAATCATATAATTATTTGTAATTTTCGGCCGGTTTGGATAATATTTGTGTAAGGTACTTTACGTCGTTGAGCAAAGTATTAAATTCTTGGGTTTCAATCACGTGATGTTTTCAGTAGCATAATTTTACTCAAGTGGGGTACACAAGTACGATCCAAACTGACCGAAAATTACCAACAATTTTATGATTATAGTAGTATAGTTCTCACCTTCACATATACAATAGACCCATTGCACTGACGTCACAAATCTTTAGAGTGTCCTCCAGATGCTCCCTAACAATATCTGTTTGGGTACAACAACCACATACAGCGCAAAAATTAACCATTTTAATACAAAATTATTATAAACTTTTACAAAATTTAATTTGTTTACAAAAGTTATATTATGCATGGATTGCTAATTTGTCTTCCAGATGCATCGCCACCGGCGCTGTGACGTCATGTGCAATGGGTCTATAGCGGCTAAAGACAGAAATCTCACATGCTGCAGTCGCCAATCGCCATTTTGAAAAATATTGCATAATTTATTAAAAACAATCCGTCAAAATGCTGTTTAGTTGTCGTATTTAGAAAATTTACTCGTCTGTACTCGTCTGTCACTCGTCTGTCACTCGGGTGTAGTTTTTGAATAGATCATAATTTGAATGCCTGAGTACTATACTGAACCTAAATGGAAATGGTGCGTAAACACAATTGAATTCAATTTTATGCATGACTGCATGACGAAATTATTTAAAATTTTAATTTGGCTTCGTCCAATCAGAATTATGTTCTGATTAATTTAACGCAGCCCGTGTATAAAGACCGTTTTCATTAACGTTCGCTTTGCCCGCGCGGGCGAAGCGTTCATTGTTTTTGACGCCCGTCACGTCCGCGTGACCAGATTTTCAAGGCCCGCTCCACCCGCGCGGGCAAAGCGACTGCAATGGAAACCGGCCTTAAAACAGTAAAAACTCCTTGCTCTGCAGTCAGTAGAACCAGTTTAATCGAACAGACAGGGAGACCTGGACTATTTTTTTTTTAATATGCTCAATGTACAATGCCTTCTAAACTCCCAGAGGTAATGAAGCTTGGGTGTTTACAACAAAAGAGTGATTTCTAAAGGTTCACTTTTTTTAGACATCCTGGACATAATTCTAAAGGTTATAGTTACCTTTGTTCTATTCTATGCTTTGTAAATTAGAACTATAGTAACTAGGCATGTGAGTTATCTAATGTTATGAATTGGGTTTAAACAAACGTTAGCCAAATTTGTACTATTATCATTATTCATTTTTGAGAATAGTATAGAAATAGCTCTAATTCTGCCATCGTCTGAACTCTGGATAGTCCATTGCAAAATACGTTTCCTTGACAAATGGAGAAATTTACGAAAAATGTTAACGAAGGGTCATTAGGCAAACATTTGAGGCGTGGGCTCTGGACGGGAAACTAAAGTTTAATTTGGAATGGTCTAATTTGCACTAAGTGAATGAAATTATTTAAAATTGTTATACCTGTCACGTTTTAGGGGGAGTTTACTATTTTTAGACTTTTGTAATTTTGTACTATTTTGTATTTTAAACTTAAGCCCCGTTTACACTACGCTTAATTTTTGGTACCGTACCACTTTTTTGTTTCTTGGACTACCTAAATAGGTAGTCCAAAGCCCCGTTTACACTACGCTCAATTTTTGGTACGGCACGGATAAAATTGGTACCCGCACCACTTTTTTGGTTCTTGGACTACCTATTTAGGTAGTCCAAGAACCAAAAAGTGGTACGGTACCAAAAATTGAGCGTAGTGTAAACGGGGCTTAGCTAAATAGGTAGTCCAAGAACCAAAAAAGTGGTACGGGTACCAATTTTATCCGTGCCGTACCAAAAATTGAGCGTAGTGTAAACGGGGCTCAAGAGTACCAATTGTATCCGTGCCGTACCAAAAATTGAGCGTAGTGTAAACAGGGCTTTAATTAACCATAATCCTAACTCTAAACCTAACCCTTACTCTCTAATTCCAACCATAATCTTAATCCTAACCTTTCCCCTAATCCAAACCTTCCCCTAATCCAAACCTTAATCCTAATGTCTAAAAATAATAACTCGCCCTAAAACGTGACTCATATGAGAATTATTACAGTGTTTAAAATACTTCCGTAATATATACGTGACGTAATATAAAGTTTAAATATTACAAGCATATGAGACGAAAATTACGTTAATTTAATTATACTTTTTGGAAATGACTTTTTAAATATTAGAGTATAATAATTAACAGTTATTCTACGAACTCGAGTCGAATATGAGCTGATAGCCGATGAGGCGCGTGTATATACACAAGGTCTGAATTCACAGATTTTGCTTTTCGAATATTTTCAATATTTTTCTATTTTGTTTATGTTTTTATCTTCGATCTTTCGGCCGATTAGTTTTTCAAAAAAATATATTTTTAACCATTTTAAATTTTAAAAATTTATTTGCTAACCTGAAAACAATTTGTGGGAGTTTTTTCATTGTGTTTTTAATCCTGTTAAGGTTATAAAAAGCGACAAGTTGCCGTTTTCTCGTTTGCAAAACATCGTAAATTCAGTTTGGCCGCCATTTTGTTTTTCTCTACTAGCAGGATATGAGCTAATATCCTGCTAGTAGAGAACCAATCAGATTCCAGAATACCTCATATCCACACCTTGTGTATATAATAACATCTTTTGCAATTTTTTCATCTTTTTTCCATTATCAAATTGACATTTCAAACCAATTTTGACCTTTATTAATTAGGAAATTTCAGGAATGTAAACCAATTGCCTATGCAGCTCATGCACTGATCTGAAAACGAAAACTGAATAGTTGATGGCGGCCATATTGTTGTGACAACCACAAATCTACTGTGTTGTTGTTGACATGTTGCAAGAGGACCGTGCTGTTTCTGGTTATGAGTGCGAAACGGCAAGTATTGTCTTGAAAGAAATTGGTGACCAGCGGTTCCTCTTTCCTCGTAAATTGGCCTTGTAAAATTGCTCGCCGAATTCAAATGGTGCACTGTCCAGTTTTTAGTGTGAAGTTTCACTTCACACTATTGTGATGGCTGGCGAATTCACACGAATCAGTCAGTCAGTCAAACAGTCAGTCAGTCAGTCAGTCAGTCATAGAGTAAACTTTCCGGGGGGTGTATACGATTTATGTTCGTAGTGATTTATTGTACTTAGTCAGTACT